CTCCCCGCCCCTTGCCCGCAGACGCGCGGATCGTCCATGCGCTCCTCGCAGGCAGAATGCTGGGCAGCGGCGTCAAGAGCGCGCAGCCCGAGGTGGAGCTGAGCGGCGGCGGCGGCGGCGAGGGCGCCGAGGAGCCCCGGGGCGCGGGCAGGAAGGCGGCGGACGGCAGAGGCATGCTGCCCAAGCGCGCCAAGGCGCCCGGCGGCGGCGGCGGCGTGGCCAAGGCCAGCGCGGCGGAGCTGAGGGTCTTCAAGTCCGGCAGCGTGGACGGCCGGGTGCCCGGCGGGCCGCCCGCCTCCAACCTGCGCAAGCAGAAGTCGCTCACCAACCTGTCGTTCCTCACGGACTCGGAGAAGAAGCTGCAGCTGTACGAGCCGGAGTGGAGCGACGACATGGCCAAGGCGCCCAAGGGCTTGGGCAAGGGGGGCTCCAAAGGCCGCGAGGCCCCGCTCATGTCCAAGACGCTGTCCAAGTCGGAGCACTCGCTGTTCCAGGCCAAGGGAGGCCCCGCGGGCGGCGCCAAGACCCCCCTGGCCCCGCTGGCGCCCAGCCTGGGCAAGCCGAGCCGCATCCCGCGCGGCCCCTACGCCGAGGTCAAGCCGCTCAGCAAGGCTCCGGAGGCGGCCGTGAGCGACGACGGCAGGTCGGACGACGAGCTGCTCTCCAGCAAGGCCAAGGCGCAGAAGGGCTCCGCGGCGCTGCCCTCCGCCAAGGGCCCGGAGGAGCGCGCCTTCCTCAAGGTGGACCCCGAGCTCGTGGTGACGGTGCTGGGGGACCTGGAGCAGCTGCTTTTCAGCCAGATGCTGGGTGAGTGCGGCCCCCGCCCCGCCCCGCCCCGCTTTCTCCTCGCCAGCCGCGAGACAAGGTGAGGGGGAGCGCGCCCCCCCGCCGCCCCCTCCCGGTCCTGCCGTCCAGATCTCGGGTGGGCGGGCATCGCGCCCAGATGTGCGGGGCTGGCGCACCTCCAGGTGCGCGTGGCTGAAGTGCACCTTCTTCCAAACGTCACCAGGAGCCAGCCCGGGCCCTGCTGCGGCCTGAGGTGAGGCTGCACAATGGGTGGGGGCCGTGGGTGCTCAGAAGCGGCGCCTTTGCTTCCAGTTAAACCCAGCACCCCAGTGGGCACTGTCCGGGGCTGGTGGGGACCTCGGTGGGGCTGCGGTCTGCACTGGGTCCGCGCGTCCGGCTTTGCTAGGGGAGCGCGGGGGAGCGCGGGGCCGGAGGACAGCTGTGCGGAAAGCAGATGTGAGCGGAGCTGGGGCCCCACTTCCTCTGCGGGTCTCCAGTGGGAGCCCGGGTCGGATATCCCGGGTGTGGGCTTCTGGCAAGGGGACCGTCTGGGGCCAGCGGGCGGGCCGGCAGCCAGCTGCACGCATCTGGACGCGCGTCCTGTGCCTCCGCCGGCTCGGGCCCAAACCT